CAAGGCAGGATGAGGCAGATGTCATTGATCACTTGGCTGAGCCCAATCATTTTTCTCCCATTAACGTATCAAAAGTGACTTCACTATTTATAGATTTATTATATTGAGAGCGTTCTTTAGCTCTATCTTCACGATCTGTTTTCCATAATAAGAATGTCCCTCCAGGGAGACAAGATTTTGCAGTAGCAAACCAATCATATGGAGTCATCCATCTAGTGGCAATAATCTCTACTATCTGTAAAGTATAAGGAGAAGTGGGCCCATAATCATGAACAGACTGTTTCAATTCTTTTAAAAGTTTTAAAGGAAGGGGCTCCCATTGAAGCGTATAGTGTTCATCATTTGAATCAAAAGTGATAGGGAGAGTGAAACTTAGATCTCCAGATTGCAGAGCCTCTCTCATGGCTCCTTTGAATCCTACATTCCGAGAAGGAAGAGGTAGGGTATTTTTTATTTTGGAACCTAATTAATTTTTGGTAGAAGATTTTGTAAGAGGTCCACAAGAATGTGTACTTATAGGGGCAAAGAATTCTTCATTATGATATTCAGTAGCTGCTTCTTCTAAATTATCTTCATTTTCTAAACAAGACGGATCCTTCTCCTCATCTTTTTTTAGGACATAAGTTTCGCTCCTAGAGTCCTTCCTTCGGGGAGTTTCTTCAGTAGGGGCAGTTGAATTAATCGTATCTAAGATTTCAGCTTCTTGAGCTGGATCTAACATCTCTTTTAAGAGATTCCATAATGCTATAGCATCTGCAGGCACATTTTCTGGTCCATAATTAGAGTAATATGCTCTTAAAGCTTCTCCTATTTTTACCCATGTTTTTAGATCTAAGTTTCCCTCTTCTGGGAACCAAGGACAACATTCCTGAATAAAATGAAAAAAACCTCTGTAATTGTGAAGTGGAAACCTGAATTCCTTTTTTTCTAAGCATATGTTTAACAATATCAATGAATAATCCTCGTTCCTTAGATTCTGTATTTCCCATTTTTCCTTTACCTAATTACCCACTCTTACCTGTTCTGCCAACAGGGGGCTCGCGAAACCCACGGTAATGGCCTATCCACTCAGAAAGCAAGGGGACAAATGCCGAGGGGGCTTACCTTCAGTTACCTGGCTCGGGCGCCAAGGAATGCAGGAGGCGTCACAATGCCAGACCTTAAATTATGCTACAGAAAAACTGGCACCAAAATACACTTGAAGATCAATGGAACAGAATAGAAGACACAGAGACACACCCACATAAATACAGTTATCTCATACTGGACAAAGGTGCCATAAACATACACTGAAGAAAAGACAGCCTCTTCAACAAATGTTGGGAAAACTGAGAGTCCCTGTGTAATAGATTGAAATCGAATACCAATATCTCACACTGCACAGAACTCAGCTCAGAGTGGGTCCAGGACCTTGGCATTAGACCAGAGGCCCTGCTCACTAGAAGAAGCACTAGGCCCAACTCCTTATCATACCGGCACAGAAACAGACTTCCTCAACCAGAGTCTTAAAGTACAAGAAGTGAAATCCAGAGTCAATAAACGAATGACATCAAACTTCTTCACAACAGAGAAACAATCAAGAACACTTGCTCCTCTGAGCCTGGCTTCCAGCAGGCACCTCGGACTCCAGATCTTGGGCCTGATGGACAGAAACGCCATCAGGGAATGCAAACCTCCCCGGGCAGGAGCAACTTTCGTGTGGCTCACAGGGCTCCGTGGGCTCCTGACAGGTCACCCACTGAGCACCCTTTGACCAGGACTACGTCACTCTGCATTCTTCTTGCTCCCCTTCTGTCCCTTCCCTACACAACTGGATGGCAGGGCAAGGACGCTTGGCTCCCCTGAATGGACCCATTACCCGCTTCACCTTGCCCTCTGCTCCTGTCCCTGGTTATCCAGCCTACCGTGACAATACTGCCTTGATGTCACATCCACTCAGACTGTTTTCCCTAGAGCTGTTCCTACTGTGGAGGATTTCACACCAATTTAAGAGATGCTGTCTTATAAAAAAAAAAGAAGAAAGAAAAAATATCCTCAAATATATTCTCCATTGAAAAAATTATCTACCATGGCAACAGAATGCTTGCCTGGATCCCGCACTTGACCCTGTCCAAGGCCACGGGCCACTCAGACATGGGTTTCCTGGTCCTTCCTTGAGAAGGTCGCCCTGCTCCCACAGGTGGGCATCCTTTTTGATGGGTTCACTTTGTTTTATTGGATCGGATTCATTTCAGAGCTTCTGTCTTACGAGGGCGTGGGGTTTGGTGATGATCCATCCCGAGGTGTGTCTCCTATAAATAAATTATTCCCTCTTGGTGGCTTCCATTTGACCGGTTCTATTGAAGGGGGGGGCAGCAAAAGCAGGCAGGGGAGGAGGCTTTTGTTAACAGGAGGAGAAAGGTGGTGCCAGCCACGTTCTTCCCCGAGAGCACAAAAGGGAGCAGGGCATTTTAGGGAGAAATGAAACAAACAGTAAATCATCAGGCCTCCGACCCCGAATGCGTCACTCCTCACTTAAAAGAAGGTACTAGAAGTCAAAGAAAACCCTGACGTGGTTTGTAAGGAGGAGCCCAGCGGCTGGGCTCTCTTCCTTTGTTGGGTGGCATTCATAGAGGCCGTCCTGCTAATTAGCGAGACTCTTAAAAATAACTCTATGAATCAGCTTTTGAAAGCCTGAAAGCGAAGGAAACAGGGACGAAGCTGAGGTCAGTTGAATCTGCCCTTCACGTGACTGAGCCTGACACCCCGTTCATCCAGAGAATACCCACCAGCTCCGACACCCAGACGTAAGGGCAGATGTCACTTGGCAAGGGGCTTCCAATTGCAAATATATCAAGGTGGGAAAAGGAATCAGGGTGTTATCGTTTGGTTCTCAGAGGTCCCCAAAGGCTCTTGTGCTGAAGGCTGGGTCCCCAGTGCAGCACTGGCCAGAGGTGACTGGTCCTGAGGATGAATCCCCAGCTGGGTTCTCAGCTGAATGGACTCAAGGAGGAGCAGAACGGTGGGAGGTGGGACCCAGATGAAGGGAGTAGGTCCTTGGAGGTAATAGAGCCTCGGGGCTATATCCTGTCCCCTGCTGGCCGCCTCCTCCTCCTCTCTGGTTGTGAGGAGGTGACCCGTTCTCTCTACCACACCCTCTCCGCCATGATGTTCCCCCTTGCCACAGGCCCAACAGCAGTGGACCAACCAATCAGGGACTGAAGCCCCTGGAACCATGGGCCAAAGTAAATCTTCCCACCTTCAAACTGTTCTCTTGGGTATTTTGTCACAACAGCAAATGTCTAGCATACAGTGCTTTCCCTAAACCTGGTTATTTGGTGGAATTCTGATGTACAATTGAGCAGGCATGCTGCTATGTCACAGGGGAGGGACAACATTTCTTGTTTACTTTGTTTGTAATTTGGAATTGAGGGTGGAACCCAAGGGTGCTTTACCACTGAGCCACAACCCCATGCCTTTGTTATTTGAGATGGGGTCTCAGTAAGTTGCCCAGGATGGCCTCCATCTTGCAGTCCTCCTGCCTCAGCCTCCCAGGTGGCTGGATTATAGGCATGCACCACTACATCTGGCTCAGAGATGACATTTCTCATGAAATGACTTCCAAACCTCTCACAATACAGCACCAAGCCCATGAGAATTAATAAACAGGATTAACACACTGGGGGAATTAGTATGCTTTCCTAACAGAGAAACAAAGAAGAAAGTCTGACCCTTGCTTTTCAACAATGAGGCCTCTTCTAGTTGACTCATCCATCGAGAAAAGGGAACGAAACGTCATCTCTTCTGCAGTCAAGAAGATAATTAAGGAGCCACTCATTTCTAAATGAACCCCCAGGGGAACAAAGCAACGGCTTCAAGTTTGAAGAGAGAAAAGCAGCCCTGTGTTGGAGGGCACCCAGCCCAAGCCACAGCCCCCGTCTGGCAGTGAGTTCTGATTTGGTTTTAAGTGACTGTCACTTGCGCTCAGTGTGGGTGGGGCTGGCGTCTGCCTGATCACATCTTCAGTAAAGGAGGGGAACTGGGAGCAGTCCTCCTTTTAATTTGCCTGCCCCAAGCTTTCTCGGAGACAAAGTCAGGCAGACCCGGTTAGGGTTTGGAGGTGGTCTGACCCCTAAAAGTTCCTGTGCTGGAGACCTGACCCCTGCGGTGGCCATGTGGAGAGGTGGTGGACGCTGAAGAGGTGGGGCCTGGGGGGAGCTATCCTCGGCATTAAGGACTCCTCTTGGCAGGAGGGTGGTCCTAAGGGCAAGACAGGCCCTCGTGTCTGGCCTCCTCTCTCACCAGGGGCTCTCTCCCTCTCCAGCTGACTCCACCACCATGCCATTGAGCATGAGGACGGCAACAGAGGCTAAACTCATGGGGCCACCAGACCTTGCTCTTCCACCTCTGAAACCTCTTTTCAGACCAGGCATGGTGGGGCCCCCCTGTAACCCCAGTGAGGCAGGAGACCGAGGCAGAAGAATCGCAAGCTCCAGCCCAGCCTCAGCAAGTCAGGGAGGCCCTGTCTCAGAAAAAGAAAAGAGCTGGGGATGCAGCTCAGCAGCACAGTGTCCCTGGGTTAAATCCCCAGAATCCCCCACCCACACTCATACACACCTAAACACCTCTTTTCTCGGTAAGTACTCAGCCTCAGATATTTTATTAATAGCAACACAAACCTGATACCAATACAGATTTTAAGTGGAGGAACCCTTCAATTACTCATTACAACCTGAAGGTGAATCTTTAGACAGTTTTTCACACAACTGACAGACTGCTGGAAACAAACAAGGGATTTATAGAGAGGGCCAGCCGTCCAAGCAGGACACCAAGCTGTGGATCTCTCGCCTATCAGTTTTAGGTACCAGCTTGATGATCTTCAGCAGTGATAGCAGATAACTATGCCCGAGTGCCAGCTATGTGTCAGGTACTTGGCTTGCACTTACTCTTTTATCCTCATGATGAACTACCCCCATTTTATACGTGGGGAAACCGAGTCTGAGAGAGCAGAAGTCCCTTACCTGCAACGTGACGGCAGGGCAGAATTCAATGCATGTCAGATGACTCAAGAACCCAAGTTGTACCTCTGCTTCTGCCCGACTGCACGAGCCAGGCTGGGCTGGAGGGACTCAGTCAGCAGAGGGCTAAGGAGCCTGTCTGGACGGCTGCCCCGCAGGTGAAGGGCAGGTGGTCACGCACCTTGATGGGAAAGGTCAAGGTCTACCCTGAGAAGGTTGGAGGACCAAGAGGATTCTCTCCTCACTTCAGAGGGGTCTGCAGGTGTGTCCTCTTCCTCTTCTCTGCTGTGGGCCAAGTATGCCCTGCACAGAAGCAAAGAGATGAAAATAAATGCTATTCCAAAAACACAGATACGGTAGGGGAGGAGAGACCTCAGCATAGAGCCAGGCCAACTGGGAAGAGAGCATGGATAAGCCCCCTGGACACACAGCAGCTGGGCAGGGCGGGCACAGAGTGGGAATCACCAGGAGGAAATCTCAGGGCTGAGGAAGGTTCTGGCTGAAGGTGGGCTAGGGTGACCGAACACCAGGGGTGGGAGGTGGGGGATTTGAGGGAGAACTCTCCTCCAACTGACTACCCAGGATTCCTGCTGAAACTGGAGTCCACAAGCAAGAACAGTCAGCTCAAGGTTTAGGATGAGTTTAGAAAAAACAGCTCAAAGGCTCCTGGCCAGAGCTTGTTCAGGGCGAATCCTCGCCACCTGGAGGCTGAAGTCCATCTCCCTGCAGGACGGGGCAGACGGTCTTTAAACCGGTCAGGAAGGTTAAGAGAGGTCACGTCGGTGACCCCCAACCCTGGAGACTAAGAAGGGTTTGCAGAGAGAGCTTTCAAAGAGGTAATTAAGTTAAAATGATTAGGTGATTAGGTGGTGATTGGATTAGGGTCCCTGGGGAGAGGGCTGATTCCAACGTGACCTGTGTGCTCATGAGAAGAGGAAATCTGGACTCGCAGACTGCAGGGCAGCTGAGCACAGAAAGGCCGTGTGAGGACATGGGGCCAGGCGGCCACCTGCAAGACCAGGGAGAGACTCAGGAGCACCAGACCCACAGCAGCTTGACCCTGGGCTCAGCCCCAGCGCTGTGAGAAGCCAACCTGTGGCTAAATCCAACCTGTTGGGGCTTTGTTCTGATGGCCAGTCAGACCAGTGTAATCTCTGAAGATCAGCATTCAAGAGCATGTGTCAGTGGGAGAGAAAAGTATCTGCTTAAAATGAAAAGAGAAATAAAAAGGGAAAACTTTCATTTCTTAGATTTAATGATTTGTATCTGATAAGAACCTCAAAAATACAAAGAATGGAGCTGGGGTGGCAGGTACCAGTCATCTGGAGGACAGCTTGAGGCCAGCAGTTTGAGGCTAGCCTGAGCAACTTGGGGAAGTCTTGCTTCAAAAATTAATAAAACAAAACAAACCTATAATTCCAGTAGCTCCGGAGGCTAAGGCAAGAGGATCGAAGGTTCAAAGCCAACCTCAGCAACTTAGCAATAGCCTAAGAAACTTATTCTGTCTCAGAATAAAAAATAAAAGAGGCTGAGGATGTGGCTTAGTGATACATTAATTAATTTAAAAATTAAAAAAAGAAAAAAAGAAGAAGAATGAATTTTGTTGTCCCAGACTCTCCTTTTTTTTTTGGTACTGGGGATTGAACCCAGGGGCACTTAACCACTGAGCCACCTCCCCAGTCCTTTTATTTTTCATTGAGACTGGGTCTAAGTTGCTTGGTGACATTCCACAAAACCTGTGAACTTTCGGTCCTCCTGCCTCAGCCTCCTGAGCTGCTGGGATGACAGGCATGCGCCCCTGCACCTGGCCTACACCAGATTTCCTTAGAATGGTGTCCCTTGCTGTGTCCCATGATCCTGTGGGTTGGGGGAGACCTGCATCTCTGTCCCTTACCCTCCTCTGAGTCTTGTGAACTACAAGAAATGACAAACCTCTGTCATAAACCCGTGGAACTGTGGAGTTCCACGGCTCCCGGGATAGAGCAGAACTTCCCAGAAACATCCTTCTGTTCCAGTAGCACTTCCTTGTCAACCAGGAAACACCAACCCGGGACAAACCTACGGATTCTGCTCATTTCTAATTCAATTCACGCCAGGGAAACGCCAGAGGAGCAGCAGCCTGGGTGTCCACCTCGGATTTACCATCAGAGGTGGACGCAACCAGAAATCAGGCCGGTCACTTTGCCCTCGTGTCAACGTCCTCATCCGGAAGATAACAACAATAATGCAACCCCAATCAATGTTCAGGAGGGTCAAAGTCGTGGGCACCCAACCCGCTCGAGGCCTGTGAGCAGTACCCTGTTCTCAGTGCCTGGGTGAAGCCCACCAGAAGTGCTGGCACTGCACCCAGGAGCAGCCTCGGACGCACGCCAGGCAGGGACTTTGAACCTGCTGGGTGAGCCGCATTGCCCAACCTCTTGCTGAAGTCACTCCATTACTACACGAGACAATGACACAGAATTACAGAAACCCAGGTGGTTTTCAAGTATCACGTGAGCTGTTCCTCCACAACTTTCTCAAAGGTGGAAATATGCTTCCACGTGTCTGAGCAGCCCTTTGGGGAAGTCTCTGTACTGAAGGCTCCACAGCCAGACCCTCTGTCCCCTGGGGACATCCTCTCAGCCTGCTTGGCTTGTCTTCCTGTGTCCCCCAACATCAGAGCCCCATTCCCCCTCTAAAGCGAGTTAGCCAGCATAGAATTCAACTACCATGGCACAGAAGGATGCCCAAGCTTGGGGTCTGCTGGAGATGTGACAGTGTACGCGAGTCCCACCCCCACCCTCTCCTGTCTCAGGGTCTTTTCTCACAGCAGCAGACCCCTGCAGCCAGAAGTCAGGTCCGGCGGCAGATCTGGGAGATGGCGTCAGGAACGGGACAGGCAGGGAGGTGGAAAGGGAAGGAAGCCAATGATGGGACAGACTTGGGCACCCGGGGCCAGTCATGCTGGGGGCCTCCAGAGTCCGCACCCAGCTGTGTGCACCTCCTCTGATGCTGGTGACAGATGTGCTCCTCCCTACTGTACCAAAGCCAGAGTGTGCGTTCACTGCGGCTTTCCCCTAGTAACCAAATCATCCTGGTCTTTGTGTGGCCTGAGTTGTGTCCTTGGACTCTGCCCCTTTCTGGTCAGCACATGCTACCCAGCCCCCTTTGTTCTATGTTGGCTCCACTTGCAATTCTTATATCTGTCATGCCTCTTTGCACCCCACGTCCTCTGCATGCAAGGTGCCCCTTGCAATAGTCCCTGTCACCTACTTCCTAACTCCCGCTCTTGGCTTGGTGAAGTCTTTCCTAACTGCTTCTTCCCCTCGCCCCCCGTCTCCTGTCCCCTCACAGGCAAGGATGCCCTGTTATGGTCTTTATAGTTCACGCACTTTGCACTTTGCATGATTAACTAAGTAATGTTGCTTTCAGCACTCCGTCTGTCCTGGGAGTGCTGCGTTGTCCACTACGCAAGCCCAGCATCCAGGAGGAGCCTGGCCCATGGCCAGCCGTCGGCATGGACGAGAGGGGGAACCTCTGCAACGCACACGGTCCAGCTCTGCAGGCTGTTTCTCCTCCTGTGGTGCCCTCCACCATCCTCATGTAGATGACAAACTTCGTCAGCAGCCATGCTCAGGAAATGGGGGTGGATCCCTGGGCCAGCAACCGAGAGACCCCTGCAGACATGAAGGCAGAGGGAAAAACATACAGAATCTGCATTACTCTAAAGGATGGTGCTGTGTGTCGTTGGGGAATTAACTATAATGAGACAAGAATACTTTCAGAGGCTATCTATAACCATGCTGATGGCACGAGACTCTTTGGAAAATAAGACAATTTTGTGAACTTGTTAAAGCTTGTGTTTATTCTCAGATTTAAGGGAAAAATCCATATGGCACTAATAGAAGCTAGACAACAAAGCAATGACTTAATGCTGTGGAAATTTAGGGTATAGGTGTGACAGCCCATTGTGTCTCCAAACAGCAATTTCAACAAAGACATAAAGGATACAAATGGGAAGAGAAGTTGATTTCACTTAATTTTATTTGATGGAACTTAACACTTGAACAACTGCTGTTTGCAAGACTTTGAAGAGTTTTAAACTTCTTCCTTCTCCCTAATGGATCCCAAAGAGAAATGTATCCATTTGTTTCCTTGCAAATGTTCAATTGCAGATTTGGGGTATAATAAAAATTCTTGCCTTGCTATTTAATTATTCAGTTGGCTGCTAGAAAAATGAAGTCACTCAAATGGGGTTATAACTCAGAAATGATATTACATGTTTATCTTAAAAGATAGCCATGTACTTCCAAGACAAACTAGTGGCAATCTAGATTTTTATTACAACAGTCGCAATTTGGAAATTTTGCAAAAACTTTAAAAAAAGGCAGCCTGAAGTTCCTTTCCCTTGATAGCCTTGAACATGCATCTGCAACAAACATATTCTTGAACCTTCTACACCGCACATCCCCTGTACACCCCAGTACATTAGTTGCATAAAAGGTAACAATGAGTCATTTATAAATATAACATCTTCTACTCAGCAATTACATTTTCTATAAAAAGAGTTTGATGTATATTTAATACTAAACTTGCTTTAAAATACATACAACCCATTAAAGGGAAAAGGCATTAAGAGAAAGCACCACATTATCAGTTTCTGGTAGAACTTTGAAACGTTGTCATTAATTATAGATGATCTTGCGATAGGTTCCTATTTGTTGGACACCTGGCAGGGCCAGCAGCAATCGGTTTGCTTTCTCTCTTTCACAGCATTCAGACCCTGGGGCCATTGTCTCTGAAGGAAACTGAGCAACACAACTAGGAGCCCACACAGATGGTTCCCACAAGAACAATCTAGAACATGTGGCAATGGCATATGCTCATCGACTAAACCAAATTAAGGGATGGAGCTTCTGTGGGTCTTGAGGAAGGGACCCGGTTAGCAGATTCTGGAGAGGAGCTGAGCCCGACAGCAGGTGCTGATCCCCCAGGTCCCCTGTTCTGTGGGGGGCATGGCAGGAGCTCACATGCACATGAGCAACACACTTATAAAACACCTTCTCAGCACCTCATGTAAATAAATGAATAAAATAATTCCATCAAATAAAAAAATTTTCAAAAACCTGCTCATTCCCGGCACCTCCAAGATACTCAGTAACTTTGTCTCTTTTATTGATAACAACCCCATTATTGTTATAGAAGCAGTCCACTTACATTGATATGATGTTAGAAAATAAAGACACGAGCAAACAAACTTCACCTTCCGCCACCAGAATCACTGTTTTGGACCTGGGTGCATTTGCGTCTTGATCGTGGTGTTTGCAGTCACATTTGTGTAGACACATAATTGTATTTTACTGATAGGAGGTGACATTCTTCAGACTGCTCCAAACAGGTCTGTTTTGGTCAACAACCTTCACCTTCCCACTCTGGTACATTTTATGTCATATTCAAATTCCCCAGTTAGGCTAAAAAGACCTGCAACTCCCAGGTCCTACCCAGGAGTGACACCCAGAGACATGTCAGCTTGTGACACCCTCCTTTTCTCCCAATCCATCAGGATTTCCTCTTCAAGAGCATCCACTTATTGAAGACGCCGGTCAGCTGGTCTGCGGAGGGCCTCCGCTTCTAGATTAGTCATCTGTGGGGCTGACTGCTATCGCCCTCTGTATCCCACAAATGAAATGGATCTGAAGGACTGCTGGGCCCACAAGGAGGGTTTTTGGCTAGAATATTCCATAAGTACGTCTATACTTACAAATGCCAGGGTGACCGTCAGTCAGCCACATGCAGCTGCTTAAATTGAAGCTTTAATAGATTCAAATTGGAAGTTCCTCCATCACATTTTTAGTGCTCAGTATGTGCCCGTGGCTAGTGGCCACCTCTGTGCAGGGCACCTATGAAGCGCTCTCTGGCTGAAGAAAGCTCTCCTGGACAGGCTGGCTGGAGACAGAGCCCCCTTCTCTACTCCGTGAGTCTGGGCTCAGGTACATGGACTTCCTTTCGCCAGCAGGAAGCTAGCCAATAAGATGCAGAGGCCTGGAATACATGTGTGCACCAAGTCTTGCCCCTGTGGCCAGTCAGACCCTGAGATTGCCACACACAGTCGAGACTAGCCTGCTGGAGGAGGCCAGCCACAGAGTGGCTTCACTCACATCCCCCCTGCAGATACAGAAGGAAGCTACCCCTGATCATCTCAACACACCACGAGAATGGAGGCCTCAGCCATCCAGCCACCTCTGCAAACCGCTGGCCCTGGGAATGAGGTCACTGAGCTCCATCAGGTCAGCTGAGCCCCCCTCCGACCACAGGGCAACAGTGAAGAATAAGAAATGACGTAGTTTTAACCACTACAGTTGTTGGGGTGTTTGTTACACAGCAATAGGTAACTGATACATAATAAGAAAGGAATTCGCATGGTGTTACTTGGGCACCATGCCACTGTTTTGTCCTCTATCCCTTCCCTAATGCACACATGTTGCCGAAATTGATCATTTATAGCTTCGCCTGGCCTTCTTGCATAAGGTAGAGCTTTTCTTCACCAAGGCCTAGCTTGCTATCCTGTCATACAGTTCCCACTGGGAAGGCAGAATAAATATTCAATCCTTTTCTTTAATCATCAATTTAAAAAGCAAAGAGTTGTTAAACAGTCACCTCATGATGTTTTATCAGACTTTCTCCCTTTTTAGCATGTTTATGAAGTCATTAATTTTATCCACTAAGTACATTTTATTTATGCTCATTAATTTTTAAATTTTATTGTGAGAGCACAGCATGAGATTTACTCTCTCAACAAATCTTCAAGGGAACAGGATGTTAGCGTCGACTAGAAGCACAGAGTTGTGCAGTAGATCTCTGGAACACACTCGTCTTGCCTGACTGGTACCTGATGCCCGTGGATTGGTAACTCTCCATTCCTCGCCCCCAGCTCCTGGCAAACACCGTTCCTTTCTTTCATTCTATGAATATGATAATTTCATATATACTATATCAGTGGGCATATGTAGTATTTGGAAGTCTGTGAGAGACTAATTTCACAGAGCATGTCCCATGTTCTCACATGTTGCAGAATTTCCTTTTATTTGAAGGCTGAATAATATTCCATTGTATGTTTCTTTATCCACCCATCTGTGCACAGACATTTAGATTGTCTCTACATCCTGGCTACTGTGAATAGTGCTTCAATGAGCACAGGAGTGGCGATGTCTCTTTGAGATCCTCATTTCAATTCATAAACACCCAGAAGTATGATTGCTGGATCATATAATTTAAACAAAAATTTGGTGTGATTGTTAGATCAGATGATTATTCAATTTTTTAGTTGAGAGGAACCTCCACGCCGGTTTTCATAGCAGCTGCACCATCTTGCATGTCAACCAACAGGTGCAAGTGTTCTAATTCCTCCATGTCCTTCCCAACATTGGCTGTGTTTTGTTTTTTGATGATAACTGTCCCAACAGGTGGGAGGTGATCTCTCACTGTGGTTTAGCCTCTGCTCACACACCTGTTGGTCATTTGCTTGTCTTCTTTGGAGAAATGTCTACGTAAGTCCTCTTGTGTGGCAGAGTTCCTTGAATTTTGGAGATTTGCAAATACCTTCTTCTCTGTGATAGGTCACTCTCCTCTCGTTTCCTTGGCTGAGCAGAAACTTGTCAGTTTGACTTTGTACCATGTTCTTGTTGTCTGTGCCTTGGTGTTGTGTCCATGAAATCTTTGCCTAGACTGTGCAGTGAAGCTTTGAGCTATGTTTTCTTCTAGGAGTTTTATACCTTACAAATCCATTTGATCCAGTATGAGTGGATTTTTGTGTGTTATACAGAGTCAGAGTCCAGTCTCCTTCTTGGCATGAGGAGACTGTCCTCCCCCATGTGTGTGGTTGAAGAATGTTCGTAAATCAGTAATTGGGATGCTTTTCACTTTGTTCTTCTTTCTGAAGGTTGATCTGGCCATCTGTGGTCCTTTGTAGTGATTCACTATGAATTACAGAATGTTTTTTCTATTTCTGTAGAGTTGCCCTAGGGATTTTGATACAGTGGCATTGGATCTGTAAAGAGCTCTGGGAAGTACAGAAATTTCAATGTTAAGTCTTCAATATTAAGTCTTCTAAAGCATGAGCAGGGGCACCTTTCCCTTTGCTTGCCTTATCTAATTTCTTCCGTGAGTGTTTTGTGATTCCCAGTGCACAGGCCTTCCTTCTCCTTGTGTAAGTTTGTGCTAGGTATTTTATTCCTTTTTGTGCTATTGTAAATAAGATTTTTTCCTAATTGCCCTTTCAGACAGTCTGCTGGCATGTAGAAACACAATTCTTGTTTGCATGTTCACTTAGGATCCTTTGACCATGTGAATTTGTTTCTTAATTCCAACATTTCTTTTTTAGAAAAATGAAGCCTTGGATGTTTCTGTGTAAGATCATGTCATGTGAAGAAAGGAACAATTTTACTTCTTCTTGTTGATTTAGATGCCTTCTATTTCTTTTTCTTGTCTTATTCACTGTGCTTTTTGATGCACAATCAACCCCATTTTGGCCAGCGTGGTGCCGGTATATGCCTCCCGTGTCATTTCAACACAACCCTACTTCTCGTAGAAGAAAACCTCCTGACTTTCGACACAACAAGCTTTCTCAAGCTCACCCTGTATCTGTCTTCCTGACCCAGACCTGGACTGACCCTTAAGG